TCATTTCTACCAGCCATTAAGTTGATACACAAAATACTACTTTTATTAATAAGGGCACTATAATTGTCTTTCAGTAAGGCATACAAGGATTTGCAATTATATCACACCATAAAACAACATGAATTAGAGTACACATGGAAACATAGTAAAGGTATATAACACATAAATCTGATTTGAATCAACCTAGCTTTAATACCATTAAATGTGACACCATCTACCTTGCATGCATAATTATAATAATCATAAAAAGGAAATACGATATTGGAATAACTTCAACTAAAGATAAAGAGTATCGCATTTGAAATTCAAATGAAACTAAAACAATGCCTAACTATTACAACTTTAAAAGAAGTATGCTTTAAGGAAAATAAACTAAAATTCATAAAAGAAAAGGCATGAAACATGAAACATGAAACATAATTTAATATCCCTAGTATCATAGGTATCAAAGCTCTCCCTTAATCAACTAGACTCCTCCAAAGAGGAAGCCTCCTACAACCACATATAAAGCAATCACAAGGAAAAATAGGGGAGTGAAAACATATTTTACTCCGACTACTATTGTAAAATAAGGTCGAGTAGCCACACACTCAAAAAATATATAATAACTTATAATTAAACTCATTTTACATCTCATTCCTTTACGATATCAATAATAATACAATTCAAACATAAGCAATATGTCATGATTGTACATAGACTAGACTCTACTATTCTATATGCATATGGTGCCAATAAAAACACTTTTCCTCGCCTAAAGACTAAGTAGTATAAGAGTACATGTTAGGTCCAGTCATCACATCACTCTCACTAGAAGGATATACTACCAGGGTCTCGTTGGGATAATTGAGCAATGCAAGTTATGCCCTCATGCACACAATGGGCAAGATTGGGACTTCTTAAGCTAAACTATCCCCAAGGACTAATCCCCAAGTTGTTACATAAGGGGGCCTTCCCTAGTAGTGTATTTCGCATTGTACTCATCATAAAACACAATGCACATGATGCATGAAATTCAAAACTTAATACATTACCACACAAATTCACTTATCACATAACACATTATCACTTCATAATTTATCACTTTCACGTATCACAATTACTGATATGCACAAACTACTTGCTCATACACATACACATACACAAGAAGTAGGTTCAGACACAAAATTATGCCAGCGAGACACACCCTACGCTCAGCCTGTGCAAGGCCACAAGCCTCTGAAGGAATCACAACCGAAGTGATCCCCCACTCGCTTAGCGAGATGCATCTAGAGGTCCTCTAGAGCCCTCATGCTCAACGTGACTACACTCACGCTTGGCATCAATGATGTCGCAAGTATTTTAAGCTTCCATGCTAGCAAGGTCATGCCCACACCCAGCGTGGTTGAGGTTACAAGCATTTTATGGTTCTCGTGCCCGACAAGTCCAAGTTGTCTCTTGGCACGGTATAAGTAAACAAGTTTTCTTTATAATTTGTAATTTTTCAAATATAAGGTTCTTATGATTTATATGATTTTAATTAGTTAATAAGGGTCTCTATAGTCTAATAAATCAACGTTGTAGTCATGCAATTTACAATTATTTTGAATTAATTCCTACTTAAGGATTTATAAACATCCTTAGGGTTTCCCAAAAACCCATAAGCACTCATAGATTTACGATCAAATACAATCCTTATAATCAATACCAATACATGCATATATCACATATAAACATTCAATCTCATACAAGTTCACAGGAGGATTAGGTTTAATCCTTCTCTGTATACATACACAAATAACATAAGGGTTGGGGGTTAATCTCGCAACCCAACTGTTACCCTACACCCTGGAGCAAGATTCTCACTCCTCCTTATCTTGACCGACACTAGTTTCAAGATCCTGGTCTCCAAATTCCTCTTAAGCTATCTCTAGTTCACTTTTCTCTTTAGATTATAATATATGGTCAAATTGCATGTGAGATTTAAACAAAACCCTAATTTTCACTACATGCATAGCGCATCAATAAAAAAATCTAACTAATTAACCTCTCACATTTGAATTTAAAAAGATAATAAATACATATTATTAAATCAAATCACTAAGAGTATTATATTCCCTAATTAATTAATCATAAAATCTTCATTTAATCTATTTAGAAAAAGTGGGATGTCACAAAAATATGTGTAACTATCCATTTTTAGATAACATATTCAAAAAAGAGTAAATTATGTGAAATTCGATATACAAGATCTTAAGTATAATATCACATAATTCAATAATTAGATCGATTAAATTTGCATTATATAAAAATTTGTTGACGGTATAAGATTTTGTATGAGTTTTTAAACTTACACCTAATGCCAACAGGTCCTGACTCTGAAAAAAATTGAAAATTCTTGACTAAAAATAAGTATGAAATTAAATATACTTTTAATTTGAATTTTTATTAATTTAATTTTTTATCTTGAAATAAATTTTATTTTGTTTTAGTTCTTAAAATTATTTTTTATAAATAAAAAAATTAATATCAAGAACTAAATTGCTTATAGGAGAAAGAATTTAAAGATTAAAATAAAAAATTATTAAGGAAAATGATAAAGAAAAAATTCAAGATCTAAAAACGTATATAATTTAAAATAATAAAATTTAATACTCCAATTTGTTCATTGAAATTGGATTGACCAATGATGTTTTGATTGACAGATTAGCATGATTATTATGCGCCCCACCGACCACAGATAACTTCACACTCGTGAAGGACCACAACTCAGTTTCTTATCAAGGACAGATATAAATGACACAAGTAACATCTTTTGGACATCAGTTAGCGGAATCAGTATTCTAATTTCTAAAGATAAACAAAAGATCAAATTGTACTTTTTGATCATTTATTTTTAAATTAAATATGTTTTTAATTTAAAAAAAAATTAATTTTAATTATTGAACAGTTTTTTTTATGTTAATCATTGTCTTTGAACTGTTTTTTGAATTTTAATTTTTAGTCTTAAATTTTTTTTTCTAATTAACATTTTAGTTCGTGATACTTAAATTTTTTTGTTCATAAACAATATTTTCAACGATTAAAATTAAATAAAAAAGACTATAAATAAAAATTGATAAAAATATAAAAATTAAAACCATGATTATTTATTTATTTATTAGTTTTTCTGTGTCTATTCGTAATTTTTGACCATTTATTTCTAAATAAAAATATTTAGTTCTTTATTTTAAAAAATATAAAATTTTGAATATTAATTAATTTTGACAGTTAAATTTAAACATTCACTTATGACATGTCATTACTTAAAAACATAAAAAAATATTATTTAAAAAATAATAAATGAAATTTATTTTAATAATATTATTAAATAAGTTATTTTGGTTTAAAGAGAGCTATTTATTAAAATGAACTAATTATTTTCTTGTATTTATTTTAAATTTTATTTATTAATTTAATAAGTTAAAAATTAATTCAAATAAAATAATAATTTCACGTCATTTAAAGTCACATATTACAAGTTAATGGCTAAACTTAAAAGTTAACTAATCTTAAATTAAGACTAATATTACAAATCTTTAAAATTATTAAACTAAGTATCTCCTTTTTTAAATAAAATGGTCAAAATTATAAATTAATAAAAATAGAAGATAAAAAAAATAATCTTGATAAAATAAAGAAGATAAATAAATTAAATAAAAATATATTTTAGTTAGCCTAATCAAGATTATATCATAAAACAAAGAGTGTGTTTGATAGGAAAGAGAAAAAAATGAATATAGATAAAATAAAGAAGAGATAGATAAGAAAAAGTAAAGAAATTAAAATATAATAAAAATATTTAATTTAAGAAAAATAAAATATGAAAGAAATAAGAAAATAAAAACTATATAATCAATTATTTTACACAATAATCAATGAAGCGTTTTAATAAATCAATTATCTATAAACTATGGTTTCGATGGTTTGAAAGTACCATTGAACACTTGTAACAAAATTAAAGTTATATATATTTTTTTATTTTTTATTTCTTACTTATTTATTCTCACTTTAACTACAATCATAGATCACAATATTGGTGAGATGCAATGCCAGAGGGAAAGATGAAGACAACAAGTTGGTGAACTTAAGATGAATGAGAGAACAAGAGATAAAAGTAGGTTACACAAATTTTTTAGAAAAAAAATATTGATCATTACTAAGTGTGAGTTACCTTGTGCTAGTAAGAGAGATGACAAAGTGGAAGAGTAAGAGAGATGACAAAGAAGAATAGTCCTACATTTGTTGGCATTTAGAATAATATCATTAACATTTTTCTTGTATATTCAAGACCTGACTTCAAGAAGTAATAAATAATTACTTTTGTGTTATTTTTTTACATGACTTTACTTTTAACATGAACCTTAGATGAGGAAGCAAATACTTACTATATATATATTAAAAAATAATTCACATTCACTTTTCATGTGGAAGATAAACTACTTTTAATAATTTTTTTTGATTTTGCATTTTCTACACAAATTTACTAGTTAGATCAATTGACATTTTCAATTACACTAACATTAGACCTATTTCCTAAAACTTTTTTTTTTTTAGATTAAGTAAACTATGGAGAGGAAACTTCACATTTCAAGAGTTAGAATTACATGAATAAACTTCATACTTAAGAATATGCCTTTCTCTAGAATCAAGTCATAACTTCCTTGTGATGGGTCTTTGGATCTCTATACACACACTCATATTTTACAAACTTCCTTATGATACATTTTTATAAATATTCTCATGTAGACTTCCTTATGATATATCTTTATACACACTATCATGTTGAGCTAGCATGCTTCCATCTTAGCTTTAACTAGTTCCATATCTAGTAGTACTATTTGACGTCCCTAAGAAAAGTTATAATCGAGGGAAAGCATACAAAAAAGATTGTAAAAAAACAAAGTGTGGAGGGCTAAGAAAAAGAAAAACCAAAAATGGAACCAAAAGAAAATTCAAACACGTTCAAAGAAGAGAGAGAAGAACAATAATTAAACTCCAATACACAGAAACAGCAACGAGCATTTTTGCCTTCTGTCATGCACTTTGCCACACACCCCAAAAAGTGCCCCTTCTCTTTCTCTCTCTCTCTCTTCACACTCTTCTCTTCCTTAGGGTTTCTCTTTCATTCAAACACAGATTCAGATTCCCACTTCCCTTTTCAGTTTTCACACCGACTCGCCGAGTCCACTCGCTCACCTCGCGTCTCCGACAACGCTTACTTTCTCCTTATTTTCCTCGAGTGAGTCTTCCCTTCTTCTCTTTTTTTACTTTCTGCCCCGTTTGTGTCCAATCTTAACCCCGCCTCTCCTTCAGTTTCCCAAAGCCTTCAAAATGCAGATTTTCCAACTCCATCCAAACACCGCCTTTCGATGATTCCGATGTAAAAGGAAGAAAAACGCAAAAAAAAAAGATCTCGAATCAGTTATCACCTCAATGGAAGGTTCTAGAATAGAGAACTTGATTAATGCCAAGAAGTCCCTGAAGCTTAGCTTAGAGAAATCAAAGTCGGTAGGTTTAGCGTTAGAGAAAGCCGGCCCGAGGTTAGGCGAAATCCGGCAGCGGCTCCCGTCTCTGGGGGCGGCGGTGCGGCCGATTCGCGCTGACCGCGACGCGCTGGCCGCGGTCGGCGGCCACATCAACCGCGCCGTGGGCCCCGCCGCGGCGGTGCTCAAGGTTTTCGACGCCGTTCACGGCCTCGAAAAATCGCTCCTGTCGGACCCCCGGTCCGACCTCGCCGGCTACCTCTCGGTGCTGAAGCGCCTGGAGGAGGCGCTGAGGTTTTTGGGGGACAATTGTGGTTTGGCAATTCAGTGGTTAGAGGATATAGTTGAGTATTTGGAGGATAATTCTGTTGCTGATCAGGTTTATCTCGCGAGTTTGAAGAAGGAATTGAAGAATCTCCGTGAGTTTCAGCACGGGGAGCTCGATGGAGGGTTGTTGGATGCTGCATTGTTTAAGTTGGAGGATGAATTCAGGTTGTTGTTGACTGAGAATAGTGTGCCGTTGCCGATGTCGGCCGCTGCTGCGGCCGGCGATCAGGCGTGCATTGCGCCGTCACCGCTGCCGGTGCCGGTCGTGCACAAGCTGCAGGCGATCCTTGGGAGGTTGATTGCCAATGAGAGGCTTGATAGGTGTGTGGGGATTTATGTTGAGGTGAGGAGTTCCAATGTGAGGGCGAGTTTGCAGGCGCTGAATTTGGATTACCTTGAGATTTCGGTTTCGGAGTTCAATGATGTGCAGAGCATTGAGGGGTATATTGCTCAGTGGGGGAAGCATTTGGAGTTTGCGGTGAAGCATTTGTTTGAGGCTGAGTATAAGCTTTGCAATGATGTGTTTGAGAGGATTGGGTTGGATGTGTGGATGGGTTGCTTTTCGAAGATAGCTGCGCAGGCTGGTATACTTGCGTTTCTTCAGTTTGGGAAGACGGTCACGGAGAGTAAGAAGGACCCCATTAAGCTTTTGAAGTTGTTGGATATTTTTGCATCGTTGAACAAGTTGAGGCTGGATTTCAACCGGCTTTTCGGCGGGGCGCCGTGTGCTGAGATACAGAATTTGACGAGGGATCTTATTAAGAGAGTGATTGATGGGGCTGCTGAGATTTTCTGGGAGCTTTTGGTTCAGGTGGAGTTGCAGAGGCAGAATCCGCCGCCGATGGATGGCAATGTGCCAAGATTGGTGAGCTTTATCACTGATTACTGTAACAAGCTCCTTGGGGAGGACTACAAGCCGATATTGACTCAGGTCCTGATCATTCACAGAAGTTGGAAGCGCCAAAGCTTTCAGGAGAGACTCCTTGTTGATGAGGTTTTGAATATAGTGAAGGCTGTTGAACAGAACGTGGAGACTTGGATCAAGGCTTATGGTGATTCTGATTCTACACTGTCCAACTTTTTTGCTATGAACAATCACTGGCATCTGTGCAAGCATTTGAAAGGGACAAAGCTTGGGGAGCTGTTGGGGGATTCTTGGTTAAGGGAGCATGAACAGTATAAGGACTATTACTCCACAATCTTCTTGAGGGACAGCTGGGGAAAGCTTCCTGGACATTTGAGTAGGGAAGGGCTGATTCTTTTCTCGGGAGGGCGCGCCACTGCCCGTGACCTGGTCAAGAAAAGGTTGAAGAAATTCAATGAAGTTTTTGATGAGATGTATACAAAGCAGTCAAGTTGGGTCATGCCAGAACAAGATCTGAGGGAGAAGACATGTCAGCATATAGTGCAAGCAGTGGTGCCTGTTTACCGCAGTTACATGCAGAATTATGGTCCTTTGGTTGAGCAAGATACTAGCTCCACAAAATATGCAAAGTACACAGTGCAGAAGCTGGAGGAAATGCTTTTGTGTCTCTATCGGCCGAAGCCTGTAAGACATGGCAGCTTGAGAAGTCCGACATTTAATGCAAAATATGGCAATGGAGTACCTGATCTTCGTAGAACAGCATCTGCAGTTGTGTAATTTCCCAGTCATGTATTCTTAAACCTAAAGATTGAACAGCATTGGTAATCTTTCCCCCTCATCATATGGATGGTTGCTGTATATAATTTTCCTCTGGGCCCTGCGGTGCATAAGATATGCTTTGGTTAGTTTCTGAGAAGGAAGTTTCTGAGCACTGCCCTTTGAATATCTGATGTATTTCATGAAAATGAAGCTTAGTATCTCTTTTGAGATGAAAAACTGGTTATTGTCTTCCTTGCACAGAGGTTTCTGCAAAAGCTATGCCATCTGTAATAGAGTAAGTTATGACCTTTTGATTAATAATTATGGACCTTGTTATGAGGTTTTTGGTCATACTGCCTGCCAGCTGAAGTAATTTTATTCAATCTTCATCTTCATCCATTCAGTTATTCGTAGCAGAAGGATCATTTTAGTTTGCAAATTTTATGTACAATTTTTTAGCATACATGGACTTAGCAGTTTAGATTAACAGAATATTTAGTCACCATCAGTATTGATGGGGGTGAAGTTGTTAATTGTAAATGCAGAAACCCTTGTGAGTTGCTTGTTCCATGTACTTCTTTAAGGGAGCCTTTTTCAAAATAAGACGTGTATTTAGCAATGAATTTATGGGGAGGCCAAGGAAAATAGGTTATATTCAATCATCTTTCTGCATTTAGTTCATTTTGATTTCTGTTCCACTATAAATTAATATACTAGTTCCATTTATTAAAAGTGTGTGGTGACAGTTAATTTTCTTTTTGATGTTATAATCCTAACAGTTTAGGAGCATTTTAACCGTGTGAAATGAGAGGGCCATTGTCGCTGCTGACTGAAGAGCTCAAGAAACCTAGCAAATGTTTCTTCTAGTTCGAGTTGCAGTTATGACAGGGACTATAACATTTTTTAAAGTTGTCCTAATGCTCTACAAATATGGCTGACTTTATATGTAAAGCAGGTTTATTCACTATGAATACAAGTACATACTAATTTTTACTTTCAAACAGTGATAAACTCTTGTTTTACTTATCCACATGAATTGTTCTCTCTCTTCCCTACTTTTTCTACTGTGCCAAAAGTTGTAAAATGATGGTGAGTACTAGGATGGATTTGGTAGAAAATGGTATCATGATGAACTAGGTTTATGTGGTCTCTACTATAACAAGTATGGTAATTATTTGAAATTGTATTTTAATCCTCCATTTCTTTTATAGTTTTCAATATTGTGAAAAATTGTCATGGCCTTAATGAAAATCATCTGAGATACATTCGTCATGATTTGACCTCTAGCATGAGCTCGAACCCAGAATTTCAAACCAGTTTGCAACTGTAGTTGTAGTTAGAAATCCAGGTTTTTGGGGTCTCGGTAAACTCAACTGTAATTTTCTGCAATATTAAGGATCATGAAGAAACTGTAACTAAGATCATAATTCAAAACCTTAGAACAAGGGCAAGTTGAACAGAGCATTTGATTGAGACTGCATCTTTGATCACAGCCATGTCTCAGCATTTTGGCCATGTTCTCCTAGATCTCTGGATTTCACCATTATTTGCTGAAACAATACTAGAGAAACTCAAAATGGCCAATCCTCATTCAGTCATTCTGTTGTCTATGCTGTTTTACTGGTGCTTTCTTGCGTCAAAGTTTGCCTTGTTTTACAGTTTCTTCTCTTGGCTCTTTATTACTGCTCCTTGATGTCTGATCTTATTCAACAATGTTGGATCCTTCTCCCACATCCTTGTTGGGGAGACACACCGGAGTACCTCAAATTTTTCCATTGGTGATGTAGTTCCTTTACCAATTTGCCATTGCAATCATAAGACTCTTGTTATCTTTGTTTCTAGGCACAACGTGAGAAATGGTTGGAGAGACCGGTTCCTGCTCATCTTGTGTTCCCTGGGTTGTGGTCTTATTTGTGAGCCGCATCGGCGGCGTGTGTGCTATCGTGTCTCGTGTCTCATGACTCCACTAACTCTACCTTCACAATGTTCATCTCCTTTGCCACCATCAAAGCAGCTAGTGAGGCCATGTTGATTGGTGGCTGTAAGGATTAAAGGATCGGAGATTATTCCTATTGGTTGCTAAGAGGATCAGCAAACTGAAACGAGTTATTTGCGCTATGTGTTATCTATTCTAAGATGAGAAAGTTTTTGCGATTCTGGGTCTTGTTTGCACAACCACTCAATTTTAGTTGGAATTGTCTTCTATGCAGGGATTATTTTACTATTTTCACACAATTATCACTGTAACCAGTTATACAAGTTAAACTGGATGATTTTTCACCGTTTCATTAATTTTATATCATATTTGACGGTTAACCAAGGAGAACTGTATATCAACTATTGAAAATTTCACCTTAAGCGGCTTTTTCTTCCACATTTCTTGTTTTATTTTCACTCATTTTTTTGGTTTCACGTTTTTAGTCCCTTGTTTGTTACACGTGTCTTTGAAACTAACAATTATAGCTTTTGCGATTTTCATAGATCAGACGTGATTTTATTGGTTCAGACATGTGTCCAAACATGTTATAAATCAAATGAAGTGAAAATGAACTTTTCTTCTCATCTTTCATGTTATCATATTTTTTTTTAAAATTTAAATATGCTTTTGTCCCTTACGTATGGTGATTGTGTTGTGTGATTTTAGTTTTTTCAAAATTTAATTGAATAATTTTATTTTTTTCAAGTATTGTATTAAACAATTTTAATTTTTCAACTTTTAATCGAGTAATTTTAGTTTTTAAATATCGTGATTGCAATCGAGAGATTTTAATCGTTTAAATATTACAATTTTTTAGTTTTTTTTATACTTATTTAAAATATATATTATTAATTTTAATAATAATAAATATATATCATCTTAAATGAAAATTATAATATATATAATTTAAATAGGTCAAAATTTGTATAATCAAAATAGTTGAGGAACTAAAATTGTATAATTGTAATATTTAAGAATTAAAATTGTTTGATTGAAATTTGAAGAACTAAAATTACACAATTATAATACTTATAGACTAAAAATGCTCAATTAGAATCTTGATGGTCAAAATCATCAATTGTAATACTTGATAGATAAAAAAATGTGATTAAATCTTTTTTCTATTACTTACAACTTACAAAGTCTTAAATTTTTTTTGATAACTATCTTTTTTTTTACCCTTTTTTAATTCCAAAATAGTAGATATTTTAGAAATTTAAAGTATATTGTTATGTCTTATCTAATGTTTTCTCATATTCTTTATGTAAAAAAAAAAAAAAATTTATCAAAAGTAATTAAGATAGTTAGTTTTTATTATTATTAATAACATCATAAAATTAAATTTCATTCTAGTATACTCTTTTAATTGATTGGTTTAAATAGTGATAACATTAAATGACACTACACTTAATTCAAGAGATAATGGTGAGTGTAATTTATATCATTAATGTATCCATTTTCATGAGTATATAAATTTTTTTACTAATTAACATATTTTAAAGTATGTACTTATTTCTTATAATTAAGAAAAAAATATTATTTATATAAGCGAAAATAGGGAGTAAGTATAATGAGTATTTGTTACACTTAGTAAGGAGTATTTATTGCAATTAGTAAAGAGATATTAAGTAAGGCCATTTTAATTAAAAATAATAATATTTTGTATTTACTAAATAGTACTATGAAAAGGTGGTAGCATTAAATTTTGTGTGTGTACACGTGTGTGTTTCAAAATAAAAAAGTATTTATTTATTTTTATTAAATAAGATAAATATCAACTTTATTATGAGGGTTTTCTTTTGTTGGACTTTGACCTCGGCATTTTCCATCCAACTTTAATTAAACTGAGCAACTAAAAGCCGTCTTTGATTACATGTTTGGTGAACGGGATCCTATTCATTTCTCTCTTTTTCCCCCTCTATTTTTTCTATCAATGTAGTTTTGAAGGAATAAATGAAATGGAGATTTTTTTTTTATTATTTTCCAAAAAAATTTATGGAAATGAAATAGAGATGTGTTACACATAATGAATAGTATCATTTACTTTTTTCAAAAGCATAGTAATAAAAGAAATGAGAGAAATTTTTTTCCTTGTATACATACATGATTTAATAACAAAAGTTTGATCTCATAGAACATGAGTTATTGTGAAATTTTAGCAAAATGAGTCACTCATGAATTACAGAGCGTAAGTTACTCATGATTCATGAGTTCACTAATTTCATAAAAAACATAGCAAAATTTTATGGATCGTGAACTCATGTTGCTAAATGATTTTAGTTAGCTAATTAGTCTTAAGGGGTTCTCGTTTTGTGATGGAATACCAAGCAAAAGTTACTATGAGGTTATCCCACCTATGAATCCATTTAAGAGGAAGATATTTGAACTAATTGAGAACATCACTTCTCAATGTCCTAGGAAAAGTTTGGTATATTACCGTGTTTGTGCCCCTATAAACAACATCTCATTTAGAAAGACATTCAAGTTCTTATTAGGATCTTTTTCTCCAATGTTGGGTTATGGGAAAGGGAGCTAAATATCTGTGTTATCTCGACTACACCAATATTTTTCTTTCTTTCTAAAAGTATGTTGAAAAGGCAAAATTATTGATCCAACTATACAAGTATGATACATATATGTTCCCCCTTTTATGCATTTTGAGTGAACCTTTTGACATATTCCGACTTTAGGCCACCACATTGTATTGAGATTTGTCATGTTGAGGAGAGTGTGATGATGTGGGATTTGATTTTGAGATAATGTATGTTCCAATTGATGGATGCATTGTTATAAATTGTTTACAGGTTACTGTTGCACCTTTGGAGCTTGTCTCAATTCATTAATTTGCTCCAAAATTCGGTGTATCATCTCATTTACTGTGTTAGGAGGTACAACTCCATTGTCTACCATAATTTTGTGAAGTTGTTGTAACTTGTACATTAGTAAGAGAGGCTAGGGAGGAACATGGTCATTGTAAGCATTATGGGGTGAGTTCATCTCTTCCATATAACCTTCAAGTTCGCCATTAACCCTAGTTATATGAGCGGTTGGTACAAAATAAATTGGGTGAAAATTGGATTTGTTAAATTCAATGATTTGGCCAAGAATGGTTAAGTTGATGAGCTTGGGGTGAATCATTGACTTGGACAGAGGTTTGATAAATATGAGTTGAGGTAGTTATAATATGTCATTTACTATTCACAAGCGTAAAATTAAGATTTTATTATTAACGTTAAGGAGAGATGGTTGTGTACCAAAGACACACCCAAGACACTCCTTTAAATGGTCAATTACAAAAGTTATACAAGGCTAAACAGCAAAGAACAAGTGGCCCAAAAAGATTAGAAAACAGCCACCAAGAATTAGTGACCAAATTTGCAACAATTTTTCAAATTAGTAAGGAAAAAATTGGTCTCTAAAATCCGTCACTAATGCTTATATATATATATTTTTTAAAATAAATTACAAATTCCAATTGAATCTCCAAAAGTCTCCACGGCTGATCCAGTCCAGCACTACAATTTTTCCAGCCAAGAGTGTTTATGGTGTATGTTTTGGAGTAGCCAAATCCGAGAGCCACCTATGTCCTTTCCTCCTCCTTTTCTTAGGCTTCTTTTGATGACCCTTGTAGAACTATCTTCTAGGAAGATAGGCTAGGTCAAACTTAGGTCACACTTGAGTTTAAACAATGATAAGAACAGCAAAGAGAATTTAAGAAGTAAGGAAGATAAAAGTAGAGTAGGAAATGACAATTTGGATGACACAAATCAAGTATTTGACTAGAACAAGAAGGAATTGACCTAAGATAAGTTCTAGAATGGATGCATAAAACCAAAACACTTTAAGATATGTAAGCTGAAAATATTATGAATCAAGGACAAGTACAAACCGAGAAGAAAAATTGATAAACCAAACTCCTTAATTGGCTTTTGCTTTTCAAATTAGGTTTAGCACTTTTTTTTAATCAATTTGTTTTTGAATTTTCTTTTGATCTTTTCTTCTAATTTTTTTTTAATCTTAGGAGTTGCCTTTTTCTTTTAGTATGGAGGAGGAGGGGATGGAGAAGGTGGGGGTGGTGACTTATAATAGTAGGGGGGAGGAGGAGAGGGGGATGGTGGAGGTGGAGAGTGGTAGTAGTAGGGAGGGTGTACATGCTCTTTAGGTGGAGGTGGTGATTGATAATAGTATGGTGGAGGTGGGGATGGTGAAGGCGGTGGTGGAGATTTATAGTAGTATGGAGGAGGAGGGGATGGAGAAGGTGGGGGTGGTGACTTATAATAGTATGGGGGAGGAGGAGAGGGTGATGGTGGGGGTGGAGAGTGGTAGTAGTAGGGAGGGTGTACATGCTCTTTAGGGGGGGGTGGGGATTGATAATAATATGGTGGAGGTGGGGATGGTGAAGGCGGTGGTGGAGATTTATAGTAGTATGGAGGAGGGGGGGAAGGTGAAGGTGGAGGTGGTGATTTATAATAGTATGGGGGAGGAGGAGAGGGTGATGGTGGGGGTGGAGAGTGGTAGTAGTATGGGGACTTTGGAACTGGTG